ATCCCTGTTTCCTCCTTAACCAAGGTGGTAGAAAATATAACAGAAAATAGCAAACTAACATATAGCCTCTTTCCGTATTCATGGAAAATGATGCTTCCTTTCGGACTTGTTATTAGAGAATTCTTCTCTCCTCCTCATTCCCTGCCTCTCCTCAGCCTCATCCACTCATATACACCCCAGCCTGGATAATAATGGAGAAATTCAGACAGGTGTTCACTTGACAATGTCTCCACTTGCATAATTACCTGCAATGTAGGACAAGCACTTGTATTTCATTTGATTTACCTCATTCATCATGAGATTGAAAAGATAATGCTCAAAGGAGTGCTTCCTCCTCCATTAAAAATATGGATTTCTGTGTGGGGATGTGGACACAAAGGTCACAGCAAAACAAGGAGGCATTTCCAATATCATATCAAATTTATAAAAGAAACTCACCAAGCCTTGTTGAATTAAACCTCTTCCTTCCTCGCTCAAATTGGTAAAATCCTTAAAGTTAGAAAGGGCCCAAGGCTAGGAGACATTTCTTCTACAAATCTCATAGGTCTTACTGTAAATACCTAAAGTATGATGGAGGAAAGGGTGAGCCATGTGAAGGATATATGATATATATGATATCTGGTATATATGATATAAAGCCATCAAATCTAACTGGAAAATTACATACTTACTGTTTTCAGACTCCCTCTGTCAGTTCTATTTCTGAACTAAAAGTCATCAAAATTCAAAGAATTAACTCAAAAACAAAACAGAAGAAAGATTGTCCAAGGCCACTGGTAGATCGTCACACAGGTAGTTGGATTGCTGCAGTTTCTTTTACCCTAGTGAAATCAAATCTATGAGGTCTTAGAAAGTAGCAGTCATCAGGGGAATGAAGGATGAGTGTAGCAACAGAGAGTAGTTGCTTCATGTAGACATTTGTAAGCAAAAGATATATACATGTGCCATGTGAGAGGCGAAAGGTACCAATGAAAGAGGCTTTGCAATGCCTCACCACAGCCTGGGACCTGGATTGTTCAGACAGATACTCTAGTGATCAAGTGTGAATGGTCCTAAGATGAACACAAAATGTGAAGCAATTTTGCATAGTAATGCCTTTAAGTGTAAGGAACATAGCTAATCAATCATCTAGAACACATTATTTTAAGTATTTATTATGAAATTTGTAACGGGATAATTAGAAAGGCAGTGTTTAGGTCACTGCTTAGTAGAGAAAGGTGCAGCCAACATCAGGAAGGGCCTGGGAGTCCAGTCAGCCAGGCTGCATGCCTCACTCATTCACTCTGAGTACCTTCTCATTTCCTTCACATTACTCCCATTCACTTTGCACAGTAAGAAGCAGAAAAATTAAAGGAGGGAGAAGGGATTACATTTATTATTACATTTATTATTGTATTTATTATTTATTATATATTATATTATATCCATGGGTTCTGTCAAGACCTGTTCAAGCAAAGGGAACAGTAAAGACAATCCTTCCTTTGGTTTCCTTCTTTGTCCACTTGCTAACTCTGGTGTGTTTTCTCTGTATGGTTTCTAGTGTGTCTCTGATAATTCATTTAAGTTTCTCAGGACAACATTCATACCACCACATCAGAGCAGAACGTAATGAAAGGCTCCTTTGCCGAGTAGCAGTCCCCTTCCCCCCAGCAAACCATTTCTCCAGATGAAGGACTGTGGCAGTATGCTGAGGGCATCAGCAAACCTCCAGTATCCATAATTCTCTTTCACATACTGAGAAAGCTACTGGTATGACTCAAAGCATGAGTAACTGGTGTTAAAATCCCAGTCCACTTCCAAGGAAGGATCTACAGACATAAAAGGAAAAACTAAATATCCTTGCTCCTATAAAACGCCAGTGGAAAGGTCTTCACAATATTTCCTTTGCTTGATTTATTTGACAGGTAATATTGTATGTGTTAACCACATGTAATATGATGTTGTGATATGCACATGCATTGTAGAATGGAAAAATTAATACACCCTCCACTCACTTCTCCTTTCATGATAAATATTAATCAAATTTTGTTTCACAAACACCTCATTCCAAGGGAGGAGGAAATTATTTTTTTTAACTGAGATAACCTATGCATTCTAAGTACCTGGTGAGCAAGTAAGTTTAAAGAAAATGCCAAGAGTGCAATGAGTCAGAAAACTGCCTTGAGGTCCTCTCTCTAGAGTGTGACTAATGTCATGAGGTATGCCTTTGGATCACAGGCCTATTATCAATAGCTTATCTTTTTTAAAAAAAATCCATTTTCTGCTATGGGGAAAATCTTTCCACTTATCAAAACATTGAAACTGTTTAAATTTGTTGAACATCAAAGTGAGTGATTTTAAAAGCTTAAAATCGCAGTTATAATTTGATTTCCATACGTTTGCTTCTGTTGAAATGATGTACTTTGTGTTTGTCAGGCATTTGGTCCTTTACTGAATCACATTGACTTATCTCAAGTTAACTGGCTGTCTCTACCCTCCTATATTAAAATCTTTTAAGGAAGGAGTAGTTCTAAAACAATTCAGGGTAGTCTTGCATCCAAAACCCACCAGCTGTTCTGTAAGCTCTGCAGAGGGAACCAGGTGTCCAAAGTGGAACTCAGGAAACAGTCCCAGCTGGTTGGTCCTGGTGATATCCATGAAATAGTCTAAAGGTTCAGCTCCCTGCTGTTTGTGGAGACCAAAACAGTTGTGGAACATGGAATTAAGGCCTATACCAGAGGCTCTATAATACCATATCCCACAGAAGTCAGCTGCTTGGGGCTAAGTGAGTTAGATTTTTTTAACTTGCCAGACTGAAAATCCCTAAGCACAAACTGAAATTTAAAAGGAACTTACTATCTTCTATAAATGAAAGTTCAAGGAAGCCCTTGCTTCAAGTATTGCATTCTCTTTAAAAATCTTCAGATGGGGAGCTTTGAAAACCCATTTTCAAATGAGTTTTCCCCACAGCTATAGATTATAAAACCTCTCAGGTTTGATCCCTCCCTTTTGTTTTTGTTTTTGTTTTTGTTTTTGTTTTTGTTTTTGTTTTTGTTTTTGTTTTTGTTTTGTTTTGTTTGAAAACCTCCCCTGATGGTGGTGGTGGAGGGGAACTCTAGGTTTTTTAATTAGATCATTTCCCAAGTTTATGGAAAAATAACTCAGGCAGGATAAAGAAAGAGGTTTATACAGGTCACAATTTTAGAGTCCAAAATTCCAAATAGCATGTCATTAGCTCTGGTGAGAGCCCTTCTTTGTGTCATGACAGGCATTCATGCTAGAGGAAGGTACCACATAGCCAGAGGAAGCCCAGAAAGATGCTGGGCAGTGGTCCTTCTTACCCTTTTCTAGCATTCCTCTCTCAAGTCCCAACCAGGGTTACAATGACCAGGTCAATTCATTTTGAGGACAAAACCCAAACCAACAGCCTGAAGATCTGCTACTCTTGTTTCTTAAAAGCCCCCTCATTGTTAAGTATCATCACACTAGAGGCCAAACTGTGAATATGTGAACCATGTAAAAAAAAAATCAAACTATAGTGGTTCCACTGAGGCCATCTCTAGTTCCTATAACCCCCATCTCTTAAATTCTTCATGCCCTGAGCTAATAACAGAGCCTACTGAACAACTCATGGAAAACGAATAGGAAGAAAGTCATTCCCCAGAGTAAAGCTGGGATGCTATTAAAGAATTTGAATATATAAACACTTAATGGGGAAACAATAGGAGGTAACTATATGCAGAACGCGTTCTACCATCAGTCGACTTTACTATTATAAATGCTCATCATACAACTTTCTGTAGTCTTTCAAGACAACACTCCCAGCTAAATAGCTAGGAGGGGGAAATGCATTCTATTTTTAGTTCTAATTCTAATGCTCACAATAGATTAATACACTACAGACAAAACGTGTATGCCAGTCACTTCCTGTTGACGAATGACTGGGTTAAGGAGCTGGGGTATACTCATGCAATGATCAACTTCTTGGCAATATAAAGGGAAGGATTTTTGATGCATGCAACCAAACACTGATTTTGATGACAGTGATTTCACAGACATACATATGTTAAAGCTTACCAAATTGTACTATGTATAATTTCTTACATGTCAATAACAATTCAATAAAGACCTTAAAAATAAAGCAAAAAAAAATCTTAAATTTCTATCACCACTGGGTGAGGGCTTATTCATCCTAACACACACTTTCCCCTACTACCTTGCCTCTGTATTACTTTCCCCTCATATTCACTGCCATTTCTTGGTAAAAATTTTGCCCTTCAGCATGCCAAATATGTTCATTGTACCATTTCAACTCTACGCCTTGACTGGAGTTCTTTTTCTCCTTCTAGAATGTTCTATGCCCACCACCATGCTCTTACTTGAGCTTTAAGACAAAATATGGGCTTCTGGACTGCTTTCCACCTTACTTGTCCCTCACCTGTTCCGTTCAATACCATGATTATTTCCATGCTCCCCAGCAGCCAATACATGTAGAGAAACACATGTCCTTGCACTACAATAGTGTTCAATAATTTCAAATCTATCCATATATCTAAAATGTTCTCTTATATGTTTAGAATCATTATCCACTCTCTGGTAGTTCCCCATGCCAGTTGCACCAATCACAGTGATCGCCACATTAAAAACAAGGAAACAAGCTAAGCATGGCAGTGCACATATATGATCCCAGAACCTGGGAGTTAGAGGTAGGAGGATCATGAGTTCAAGACCAGCCATGCTGTATATAGCAGGTTCAGTCTGGGATACATGAGACTATCTCCAGTCAATAAACAACACCAAAAATTGCCATGTTTTCTATTGTAATAACTATTTTATAGGAAAGAAAAGTTTAATTAGGAAAATTTATCTCATGGGCACTCAGTTGTAAACAGTCTATTACTTTGAAAGAGTCCTGGGTCTACTCTCAGGGTCTTCCATTAACCGTCGATGATTTCTTAAGGGAATGACCCCTGTCTTTCAAGTATCTCTAATAATCCCTCTGCTCTTCTCCTGTTTCCTAGATACACCAAGATGAAAACTGCCACTAACATCTACATTTTCAACCTTGCTCTGGCAGATGCCTTAGCAACCAGTACACTGCCCTTTCAGAGTGTCAACTACCTGATGGGAACGTGGCCTTTCGGCACCATCCTCTGCAAGATCGTGATCTCAATTGATTACTACAACATGTTCACCAGCATATTCACCCTCTGCACCATGAGTGTAGACCGCTACATTGCTGTTTGCCACCCAGTCAAGGCCCTGGATTTCCGTACCCCCCGAAATGCCAAAATTGTCAATGTCTGCAACTGGATCCTCTCTTCTGCCATTGGTCTGCCTGTAATGTTCATGGCAACCACAAAGTACAGACATGGTAAGGGTAAACATGGGTCAAAGTCAGGGATGAGGGTACTTAGAGTCTGATGTGTTGGTGATGTCCTGAGCCAAGCAGAATTCATGGTTCAGAATCTTTGTCAAGCTGTACTTTGAATTAAGAAATTAGTTAATTAATTAAGAAATAAGAAAATGCCCTTAAATATACTGAAACAGGAAGATTTCTCTATAATTACAAGTCCTCCAGGTATTTTAATAAGTACAAAGCCTAGGTATTCCTGATTTCTCTGAACTTACTTTGTCAAAGTGCTGAATAAATAGGAACATAGATTTTCCAAAAGTAATTAAAGCTTAAACCCAGAGAATGTTTCACTGAGGCTTGTTCTAAATTTTCAAGCAGTTGTCTGCCTGACAAATTTACCTGTCCTGACTTAACGGCAGCTGCCATCCTGAAGTGGAGGGGAGACATCCATTAGTGAGAAACTCCTGGGAACCTTGGACAATGATTATATCTTTTATAACAGCATAAATCCCACGAGCATCTGATTCATTGTGAGATGTACATAACTTCTCACTTCATAAAATCTTAATGTGATCCAAGTGGGCAGAAAAATGGGAAATGTAGGAAAGGAGAGAAAAAGCAAGTAGCTTCTCTGTGAATAAACAGATGAGTTTCTTCCTTAATGTCTTTCATTCTTTCCTTACATGTCTATGCAAAGCAACAACCTTCACTTAGCTCAGGTCAAAGCTATTAGTAGGCAAAGGAGCAACCTCAGTACCTAACGGTATAACTAAATGTCGCTGCTAGTTTTTCTTAAAAAATCCTTTTCTTCCAGGGTCCATAGATTGCACCCTCACGTTCTCCCACCCTACCTGGTACTGGGAGAACCTGCTCAAAATCTGTGTCTTCATCTTCGCCTTTATCATGCCGGTCCTCATCATCACCGTGTGTTATGGACTGATGATTTTACGACTCAAGAGCGTCCGCATGCTGTCAGGGTCCAAAGAAAAGGACAGGAACCTGCGTAGGATCACCAGAATGGTGCTGGTGGTCGTGGCTGTGTTTATCGTCTGCTGGACCCCTATCCACATCTACGTCATCATCAAAGCCCTGATCACGATTCCAGAGACCACCTTCCAGACGGTTTCCTGGCACTTCTGCATCGCTTTGGGTTACACAAACAGCTGTCTGAACCCAGTTCTTTACGCGTTCCTGGATGAAAACTTCAAACGATGCTTCCGAGAATTCTGCATCCCAACCTCCTCCACCATCGAACAGCAGAACTCCACTCGAATCCGTCAGAACACTAGAGACCACCCCTCCACGGCTAATACAGTGGATCGAACTAACCATCAGGTACGTGCTTTCCAGAATTATGTATAGCTTATAAAAAAATACAGCACCTGGTACCAGTCCAAGATTTAAATTCCTCAGGAGGTCAGTTACTGGGGAGTTGAGGCCAGCCCCAAGAATAGAGAGGGGATGGGATCAAGTTCTGATCATAATGTCAGAAAGATGTGTCACATGAATGTGCTCAATATCTTTGTACATGGTCATTTAGGTATAAAGATATGATGACTGACAATCTACTAAACTGCTAAAAGTTACTCTCCTCAGAGCCTTGCCTTCTTTGAAAAATTAATGGTTTTAGTACATCATAGATGGAATCCTACTTTGGAGTCCTTGTTTCACACAGAAACTTTCTATATCCCAACAATATGATGCTAATATCTCTGCCACTTAAGAGCCAACCCACTCCAGTTCTGTAGTTAAAGAGCCTTGTCCACTGTGGTCATAGGTACAACATAGTCCCAAAAACCAGTGTCAGGGCAAAGGAGAAAAGATAAAAATAAAACCAAGTATAGCCATCCCTGTCTGTTAAGGCTTTGGTTTGTAGAGTCTGGTGTCCGAACGCTAGAGCAAGTGCCCACATATTACCTAACTAGTATATTAAAATCAATTTTAAACACTTTCCATGCTATTTGGAAATGACTTAAGAGTGATTAGATGCTTGGACATCTAATCATCCAACAGAGTCCTACATCCAACAGAGAGTCCCAGGAAGATCCAAGATTTACTCACAATATTGTAACCAGACAAGAAATGAACAAGGGGAGAGAGGACTTTGCAATAATTTGACATCTAACCTAAAACATCAGGACCCACATGACTTAATTATAAAAAAAAAAATTAAATAAATAAGTGTTCCAAAATGCTTCCCATACCTAAAAATCACAGCGTATATAATTTTATGACACGGAGTTGGAATTCAAGCCTCTTGTAAAGTAAGTGCTTGGGTCAAAGTTTTGGGTCAAGTTCCTATTCCAAGGGGCAGGACTATGAGGACAGCAGCTTCCTACAAAAGACTGTAAAGTCCAGCAGAGGAGCGGCCAGAGGACGGCCTGGTCCACCACAGTGACAGCTGCTCCCACCTGCTGGTGCTTCATCATACCCATCCCTCGCTGTCCCTTTTCACCCAGCTATGGCCACCCAGCCTAGCTGAGGCTCAGTCTTTCTAACTGACCTCATAGTTATGTAATACTGCCTAGATGAATCTGCCTCAGGAGACATGAATCCCCATACCTGAATGAGAAATGCGGCTAGCACAAAACATGCGAGCCAGTACCCCTAGAGAGCATGTGGTTCAGGTGGCAGATTCATTCCCATCTCAAAGGCAAATACTAACAAATTTATCTCCCTGCTTCCAGCTCAGAAATCAAAGCCAGAAAGAAATCGGTTTCTCCTCTGCTTCCCCAACCCACCCCACCCCGCCTCTCTCTCTCATTATTATCCACATTGACATATCACCTGTTCCCTTTTTCTAAGCAGTCCTTCATTTTCAGTGGCTTTCAAACTCTTGCAGGTCACTTTAAAAGGGTGAGGATTTAAATTGATTCTTTTTTTTTTCTCCAACCCAGGGGTAACACATTAGAGAACACAATTTGAAACTCCCTGTCCCCGGGCTTCAAATCCTTTGCATTGAATGAAATATTTTACTTTCATTACAGAAAAGGATGAGACTAAGGAAGCTTGGGCCCTTCCTCCCCTCCCTAAGTGCCATGCTGTGTCTTTCCTCCTGACAGGCTGACAGGGGTGTGGCTGCTTGGTGGCTTTATTCTAGGACACTGTTGGGCCTTCTTATCCTGCCTGATCCACCCCGACCTTCCTCTAACAGAAGCGCAGCCCCCAACCTCTCTAGTTCAGCACATCCCAGACTTGAACAAGATTAACCTCTTCCCCCTTCTCCCAGTGCTGACTTTGACTCCCTTTCAAACCCCATGTTTGCACATCATTGTGGTTCTTGCACAGCCAGAGAGTGGAAGGGAAGCTAATTGGAGAAGTTCTGCCCTAAGTAACTAAAAGGCTTGCTTTAAAAATACATCCAATTAGCACTTATCGCTATGACTGCCTCCATGGAGCGGTGTCAGCATCAGATAACATAGAGAAGCACATTAGCCTGGAACTGGCTGCTTCCCAAAGGCCCAGCTGGGAGAGCTGGACCAAGAAGAGAAGCTACAAGGAGCGGAAAAGACGCCCTGACATATTTGAAAATTAACAGAAATCAAAGCTCCTTTTCACCAAGCTCTACAGGTGTGTCTTTTTTTTTGGGCTAAGGCAGTCAGGCAAAGATGTCTGGAACAACAGGAAATCCTATGATGGTTATTTTCAAGCAGACATTCCAATCAAATCTGAAGGAGGCCTGACTATGTGGCTCTGCCATTAGGGATCATTAGATTAGCTCAAAGAGAGCTAGAATCTGACAAGCTGGTGTTGTGTTTCTGTGGGTTTCATGTTTGTTCGTTCGTTTGTTTTAAATAGGAGCAATTAGGCAACAAGGCTAATCAGATGGGCGTGGAACTTTTTAGTTAGAAGTATTAGAAGTTTGTCATGGTGATCAATGCTTATGTTCTGTCTATTTGTGTTTTCTCCAAAAATATGTATTATATTCCGCGTGTTACACGTCAAGCACATTAGTCAACTTCCTATTCTGCAGACCCGAGACCCAAGTTCAAACCTCCCCAGGGTGTCTGTATTATGACAGCTGTGCACTGAGGCCACGTCCACACAGCGCAAAGTGAAGTGGCGATGTGGCAGTTCCCAAGGTAATTTGATAAGCCATACAAGAAAGTATAACCAGCTCTAAAAACATCTAACTAAGTTTTTCATGTACAACAAAACATTTCAAAACCTAGAATCTAGAATTAACTGTCTACGCAGACTACAGTTGTATGATACATCAGTAATTTGGGCCAGGTTTGCCTGTGCTCTGAATTTTAGTTGTTTTCACTCAAGCCAGCCAGTGTCAGAGCTATCAGTCACCTAATCTAAGACAGCCATGGCAGGAATGACTGGATCCATAGACTCTCATCCTCTAGAGTGTTATCTCAAGCTTGTCTTCACCCTGGCCACAGGTTCTGAGGAAGAGAAAAGAGAACAGTCCTCCTCAGACCTGGTGACAGAAATAGACAGTGTCCTGGGGAGATAACTCAGTGGCAAAAGTACTTGCTCCACAGGCCTGAGAACCAGAATTCAGCTCTCCAGAAGCCATGTGAATGCTGAGGGGCAGGGGCCGAAGGTCTGCCCTGTGGTTGCATCACTGGGAAAACATGAGATGGGTATCCCTAGAGGAAGCTGCTTAGAGAAACCAGGCATGTCAGTGAGCTATAGGCTCAATTGAGAGACCCTACCTCAATTAATAAGATGGAAAGTGATCAAGAAAGATTCCCAATATCAACCTCAGGCGTCCGCATGCACACACACACACACACACACACACACACACACACACACACAATTCTTAAGTAAATAAAGTTACATCCGCGCTTACTGTGGATCAAACAACCCATCAACCTAGATTTGAATGGGTAAAAGGGAAAAACTGCCTCCTGGTGACAGGAGCAATGGTCACCTTGTGAAGAGACAGAGGGAGGTGGAAAGGTCGCTGTGGTCACAGTTGTTCACGCTGCAGTAAACAGCTACCCCAATGATTCCTGATGGTAGGAACACACCCATCTTGCTTCTTCTTGTGCCTCTTGTGTCTACCTAGCCCAGTCCCTGACACATTAGAAAGCACTCCACAGATATCTACAGAATGGCTGAAAAAGGGGAGAGCTGTGATATTTTAGATATAGAGGTATATAAAAGACCTCTTTCTTATGTGACCGACTGCAACTCAAATGACCCTGTAACACTGAAATTTGGGGCCCACTCTTCAGAAACAATGAACAGTAGGCTTTCTCCACCCCAACCCGGAGTACTCTGATCATAAGTTAGACTTTGCAACTTGTCTTCTAAATTGATTTTTAACAAATGCTTTAAAGGACCAAGGCCCAAACTCACTGCCCTGAAGAAGTCTTGTTGTTACTGAGGGTGGGGCAAGGGAAATGTTCTCTTCTGAATTTTGTTCATCCCAGTCTCAGCATTCTGGTCTTTCTGTAGCACCCATGGTGGCTTCATGTTCAGTGTGTCGCCTTTATGGCTTTTTTATCTTGATTAGGTGGAGCCTAGTGGTCCATCTGTTCCTGTTACAATTGAGTTTCCCCACCCACGTAGCATCTTGCTGTCCTGTTGAACTGGACAGAACACTTCCCACTATGGACTCTAAGCAATATGAGTCTCATTCAGACCTGAAATGTCACCATCCACTCAGAGCCTTTCCTGCCTGGTTTCTACCCCAACCTTACCCATTCAGGTACTTTCTACTTGATACCTGGGTGAGTTTGAAAATGTTTAACATCATATAAGGAAAATGGGTGAATCTGTTAGGTCAACATAGTTATTATTTAAATACAGTAACCATAATCGTAGAAGAATGGTATGATACTTTCCTATACCAACACACAAATTAAAAGGGGATTGTGTGTGGTCCCCCACATCTCTTTTCCCATAACATCCCAGACATATAAGCATGAGAGGACAAATGTTCATGGAGGTTAAATGGTTATACAACACCCAATAATCAGTAAGAGGCATACTCCAGACAAGCACCACTGATTTTAAGAATAATTGAGAGCTATTCTCTTCTACCCCTCCCCACCCCAATGTTATGCCTCTTTCTGTGAGTGCGGTATAACCATAGCCAGAGATTCTCAGCCTTTATGGTGAACTCCAGACAATGCAGGATCTGCAAGATGTCTTTGAAAGAATCATGGCTCATTGTGTGGGGCCAAGAATCAGTATCTTAAATAAAACATGATACCAGAATTTCTGATTTAAATAGTGGGCAAGGTGATTACTACATGACCGTGAAGATTCAAGTCTGCATTCTTAGCATCCACATAAAACTCCAGGTCATGTGGCACACATGTAAGCTCTGGATCATGTGACACCTATGTAATCTCTAGGTCGTGTGGTAT